TAGGTGCTAACCAGTGAGGGCACACTGGCTGCAGTGAGTGTACATGTAGGTGCTAGCCAATGAGGGCACACTGGTTCCAGTGAGTGTAGGTGCTAGCCAGTGAGGGCACACTGGCTGCAGTGAGTGTAGGTGCTAGCCAATGAGGGCACACTGGTTGCAGTGAGTGTAGGTGCTAGCCAATGAGGGCACACTGGTTCCAGTGAGTGTAGGTGCTAGCCAGTGAGGGCACACTGGTTTCAGTGAGTGTAGGTGCTAGCCAATGAGGGCACACTGGTTGCAGTGAGTGTAGGTGCTAGCCAGTGAGGGCACACTGGTTGCAGTGAGTGTAGGTGCTAGCCACTGAGGGCACACTGGTTGCAGTGAGTGTAGGTGCTGGTCAAGGCTCACAGCTTTTACGGAGTTTCATGATCTGACTGCTTGCATTGTGAATATGCCAGCTCAGCTTCTGTCTTTCTCCAATTGTTCAGGGAGTATGTACATTGCATATATACCGATACTTTTGTTCAGAAGTTACAACCAAAGGGAGGTTTTCCTTTACAGTTCCTTTTCTGTACATGCACTCATACAGTCAATTACAGTGGAGGAGTTTGACGAGATGGAGGCAGACATGTTTCTCATGAGTCCACCCTGCCAACCATTCACAAGGTAAGGACCACCTGCCGAGAGTTTTTTGGAGGTTTTGGTCCGGTGTTTTGTGTCTTATTACCTGGGTCTTCAGTTTTTGTTTTAGTAAGTATCTCGACTCAGCCCAGTCACCTTTGGTTTTGTGCAAGTACTTTTTGCATACTTATCATTTTATTATGATCAAATGCTGGGCAGTACCATATATTTCTTGGCGCCTTTCCTTTTGTAGCACCTAAACTTGAAACTTATGCAGCACGAGTAGCAACCCCGATTCAGTGTGCATGAAAGTGTGACATTGTATTGATGTCATCTGATACATGTACCAAATCGCATGAGATAATAGCTGAAAAAATGACCAGCACTGCTTCTTTCAACTGTATCAGTTGTTAAGACAGGTGATGTTTAATTCGATTTAATGTGAGGGGAAAAGTTGCTGCACGAGCAGCAGAGGGCGCCCTCGCCTGGCAACATTGCTGATAATCTGTGCATGTACGTGTATGTAATGCAGAAAGGAAAAGACCATGCACTGTACATTTCTCGGCCAGGATATTGGTTCCCTGCCGACTTTTGCTGATAATATTGTTTATAACATGGCATAAATTGACTGAATCGTAAATATGTGTTGTGTTGCTTTTCCCATCTGGGCTAAAATTGGTCATAGTATAACAAAAGACCACCCACTTATGCTCTGCCCCATAATGTTCTGACTAATCATGGTCACAATAGCCGCGATAGTCCAAGGTAATGTGCAGTTTTACCCATGAACACATTTTGGAGCTTGGGGCATGCGGTGGCCATTGGAGTAGTCTTAATTAGTTGAAAGACCATCATGCCTTTTTTCATAACATGTTTCCATTCCTTTCTTCCCCTGGCGGAAGAATTTTTTAATTGGCCGACACATCTTTGTGAATGTTAATTTTGATCAATTTCAGCTAGCTTTTGATGCCGGGATCATGTTTCACCATGGAGTATCAATTTCCTTCATATTGGTGCATGTATTTCATTCTTACACATGGTCATCCAAAAATTGTGTCTGGTACTGATCCAATATGTTCTGTGCCATTGTGAGGACCTGTACATGTATGCATGGCTAACAAATGTGAAGTACATGTAGGTCTTCGAGGCACAAATGCTGTCTTTTGATTGTCGGATTATGTCCATTCACAGTGATAAGTTGACTCTTCTACATCTACCTTCTGCAGGGTTGGTCTGAAGGGAGATCTGCAGGATCCACGTACCCAGAGTTTCTTGCATCTACTCCAGACGCTGCCCCGGTGAGTGTGCCAGCAGGCCTTGCAAAATAACCGGAGCATTAACCCTGTACAGGTGTCATAAAACTGAGGTTGAAGTACCACAATATCAAACTTTGTGAGAAAAAGAGAAGATATTGCTTATTTCGCCATAAAAATAGGTGTAGGCTATACAGAATAGTGATGGCAATTATCCCATCCAGTGTCTATTGTGTGGTTCACCTGTCAGTCTTTGTTGTTTCTCACCTTCTCCTAAAGTGCCATTTTTAGATACTTTGTACTCGAATACGGAAGTCGTCTCTCAATATAATTGATGAGGTTGTGTCCTAGGTTTGTTTTTCTTGTGAACTGATCCAATACTCTCTTGTTTGTGACAGCTTGGCCAGAATGCCCAGCTACATTCTGGTGGAGAATGTTCAAGGCTTTGAAGGATCCAACTCCAGGTACGAGTGTCCCGTGTCTTCATAAAGGAGCTTTTGACGGGCAGGAAGGGGAATGTATTAATGAAAGGAGACAGTATGTGGGTCTGCATTTAACCACTTCGAGTTGGGGTGCCCGGTACCCGAGATTTTGGCTTTATACGCACAGCCGGGGTGCCCGAAATCGGACAAAGGAGCTGGGCCTTGTAACAAAAGACGGTACTTGGAACAAAAGACCGCGCTGCTGGGAATTGCCAACATTTTTTCAATCGTCAATAGCGGTGGTAATTCTTCATTTTTTGGAAGCGGTATACCAATGTCTGTAGCATTCAGTGGAGCAAATTACGACTGTCCAGTAAATGAAGTTATGAATTTTTGAAGAATTTTGAAAACACAAAATCTTGAAAGTCCTCAGGGAACTTGTCATGGAACTTCAAATTAAACCCGGCAGCAAGTGATTAAAGTAACTGAATTGATGTACACGTAGCATGGTTGTTATTAGGGCACATGAACCCAAAGTCGGGAATGCTGGAGGTCCATTGGTGCGTTCCAGTGGAACATGCACACAGTGCCATGCATCTGGACCGTTCCATTGCCTGGGTTTCTGCCATACCATGGGAATGGCTGCCAGGGTCTCTGCCATACCATGGGAATGGCTGCCAGGGTCTCTGCCATAGCCTGGGAATGGCTGCCAGGGTCTCTGCCATACTATGGGAATGGCCAGTCTGTCCAGTGGAAGGTTGGAATACTCCTGTCTGGGCACATGCTGTGCCATCAAGAATGTACTAACCATGTCAAACTTTGGGACAATCTTTTATATTGTCTCTTTCTTTTATTTCCTCAAAGGGCTCAGCTTGTGAAGACTTTGGAGAACTGTTGCTATGACTACCAGGTGTGTTGACTTTGCCACTCTCATCTCCTTATCCGATGTGAATGTATGATCTAAAGTTCGTCATGCGCATGAACATAGCAGAAAAAATGTTTCTGGCAAAAGGGTGCAAGAAACACA